CCTTTCCCCTATCCATCCCTTCTTCTGCTTATCTCTATTTCTCTATCAATTCTTTTTAATACTCAAACTCTCACCTTGCTTTGCTTTGTTCCCTCAATGACCATGTAAGAAAAGGTGGGATTCCCAAGGGACAGGAGTCTTATCTTTTCCTTTTGGTATAAGCATTGCATCACCACTTAGCCCTTTCAACTGTTCAAATGCTTCTTCGAAGCCCTGTGATCAACAAGATGAAGGACTAGACATTTTCTCCAATCCTCAAGAACTCTTGAAAATTCCCCAACATAGGAATTATTTAGAAGAGATAAAGCAATTGCAGCCAAATCCATAGTCTAATACACTAAGAAACTTAACAAGATAACAGCTTTATGAATTAATAGCAAAAAGTGAGGGGAGGGGGTTAATCTCATTCATTCACACTCATTCAGTACCTTCCGCACTAGCCCCCATGTTCTTACAGGATACACAGCCCAATCTAATGGCTTTTGCTCTGGCATCCACTCAGCAATTTCATTTCTGTTGCTACCAGTCATGACCCCACCATTATGTGGCAACAAGCATCAGATCCCCTTGTGGAAATAGGGAGAGTATAGAAAAGCAGAAATGTGGACTCTCTGGGGCAGCAGAGGGAATTCTGGTGCAAGATGTGAGTATGTATATGGGACTACACCAGGCCTGAAGGAAAGATAACTGGCATCCAGTTGGGACTAGTTCTGTCCCCACTCCCACCCCCTGCTCAAGAAGTGACTTGGGGAAGGGACTATGGTCAGTGAAAAGTGAATTTCTCAATGTGGAATGAGGTTGAAATAGTTTTGAGATCAAGAGTCCCAGGAATTTACCATGAAAGGGGGAAGAGGAAGAAAATGAGCAATAGAGAAATTTAAGGGGAAAAGATTACCAAAGGTCACAGGAAGAAGACTTAGTTAAAAACCTAGAGCACAAGCAGATAAGTCAATAGGAAAGACATTAAAATAGAGAGATGGTCATCAAGATATCAAAGGAAATTGAAAACCTGATAAGATAGAGGACTCTGAGAATGCCCAAAAGAGCATGGAACCAAAGGAAAATGTTTACAAATGGCTCAATAGAGAAATAATAAACTTGAAAAAAGAAGTTAAAGGGGAATAAATTTATGGCCTATATGGAAGAAACAATTAGCAGAATTTAAAAAAACCCTTAAATCTATAGAGGTGAATCTCTTTATAAAAAATGAAAGAGAAAACAACCAAGTGATAATATAAAGTCAAATACTTAACATTAGCTATCATATTTCTCCTTCCCCTGCCCCCAAGTCTTCTCAGTGCTAAACATGCTCATTTAGAGATGTATGTTTTCAGACCTTCCAAATATGGGAAATATATGGAGCTCCCAGTAAGAAATTTACTCTTCAGATGGTGATTGGCATCTTCTATGTACCTTATAGTTTTTTTGGGGGGGAGGGAGAGGTTGTAAATAGTATTTAATTTTTCCAATTACATATAAAAATAGTTTTCAACATTCTTTTCTGTAAAATTTTGAGTTCCAAATTTTTCTCCCTCCCTCTCTTTCCTCCCCCCTCTCCAAGACAGCAAGCAATCTGATACAGGTTATACATTGTACCTTACCGTTTTAAAGAGTTATTTAGAATATTGATAGATCAAATGACTTGTCCAGGGTCATACAACTAATTGGTAACAGAGATAGGACTTGAACTTGATATTCTTGGCTCTGAGACCAGATCCACTGTGCCATACTACTCGTTAGAGATGATGGGAGGGGTGTGTGTGTGTGTGTGTGTGTGTGTGTGTGTGTGTGTGTGTGTGTAAGTATGAGAGAGAGGCAGAGAGACATGGAGATAGGGATTTAGAAGTCTGACATTACCTTTGGAAGGTCTGCAAATACCCATCTCCAAATGATACAAAGACTTTCTTTTTCTCGCTTGGTTGATGCATGTGAAATACAAGGCAGAGTTATGCTCAACTTAAGAATAACAGCCTGAGTCCAGGGTTCAGGGAGACAGGATATTGAGAAGAAACTATTAAAATTCAAGGGTGGCACTGGTCAGAGGCAAGGGAAGGTAAAGGGACAGAGGGGAAAATGGGTAATGGGAGTTCACCACTACTTCTGAATTTGAATGACAATAGGACCTTAAAGGTGTGTTATGGCTAGATATTTCTGGATAGACTTAAACACCCTGGAAGGCAATGGTTCTCAAGAAGCTTCTGTTCTCAGGCAGAATTATCCAAAACAATACCAACCAGTTTACCTTTAAAAAAAATCCATCATCCCTAATATCAACATTTCCACCATCACAATAGATCTATACTCACCTCAACAAACATTTATTATTATCTATGAGCAAGGCACTGTGTGTGCCCTTCCTAGGATGTACGTATACAAAAATAAAACAGTTTCTTGGATTCAAGAAGCTTATATTCTATAGTACAGGGAGGGAGAGTTGGAATACAACATGTATAGAAATAAATGCAAAATACTTTGAGATAGAAGAGAGCACCTATAAAAGTGTAGAAAATCAGAAAAGGCTTCAAATACAGAGTGACATCTGAGCTAAACCTTTAAGGAAGCTAGGAATTTTAAGTAGTATAGATTAGAAGAAATTGCTTTCTAGGCATGGGGTGAAGACACAAAGGTGGGAGGTAGAAAGTCAAGTTCAGGAAACAGTTAGTATGCCAGTTTGATTGGAACATATGGTACATCAAGTCAAGTAATGTTAAATAAGTCTGGAAAGGAAAGTAGCGGGCCAGATGATAAAGGGCTTTAAATGCCAGGAGAGTTTGTATTTTATCCTAGAGGTATTAGGGGGCCACTGAAGGCTTTTAAACTGGGGGGGGGGGAAGGGAACATGACATACTCAGAAATGTGCATTAGGAATATCAATTTGGCAGCTATACAAAGGATGGGTTGGGGAAGGGAGAGACTGGAAGCAGGAATACTAGGTAGGAGACTATTGCAATAGTTCAAGTAAGTGGATGATCTGAACCTCATTAGAGACAGAATAGATGGAGACAAGGGAATGACCGAGAAAGATGTTATAGAGGTAGACCTGCCAAACTTAGCTATTGTTTTGACATAGGAGTGAGGGGAAAAGAAGTAATTATGGATGATTTTGAGAATGAATGGTAGGGCCTTTAACAAAAATAGATAATTTTGGAGGAAAAGGCAGATGGAGGGAGGGATAATAAGATAATGATTTCCACTTGGGGCACATTGAGTTTATTATGATGATGAAATATCCAAGTGCAGATGTCCTTCAGGAAGTTGACAATGCAGGACTCAATTACGGGTAAATTTTGGCAGTTAGCATAGAGGTGATAATCTAATCAATGGGAGCATAGAGTTACTATAGAAGAGGACTCAGAGCCTTGACAGATGCATGTGCTTAGTGTGAGGCAGATGGACGATGATCCAACAAAGGTTATTAAGAAAGAAGGGACAAACTGGAAGGAGAAGAATCAGGAGAGAGCATCAGCATGGAAGCCTAGGGAAGATAGAATATCCAGAAGAAAGGAGTGGTCAAATAAGCATCAAAAGCTGCAGAGAAGTCAAGCAGAAATAAACTAAGAGGCCATTGGATTTGGCAGTTAAGAAGCTTTCAGTCAAGCGATGGCATTGGAAACCATACTGGAAGTGATTGAGAAGTGAGTGAAATAGGAGAAATTGGAGGCAACGAGTACAAAAAACTTGTTGTAGAAGTTTGACTTTGAACAGGAGTGGAGATGCAGAATGGTAACTCATGAGGACTGCAAGGTCAAGTGAAGGATTCCATTTGTCTTTGTGTATAATGGGACCTGGAAATATTTCTGGACAAGGAGGAAGGATTAAATCATTAAGAAGAGCTTGAAGATGAGAGAGAAGCAATTTTTGAAAGGGTGAGATTCCAGAGCAAACGGAAGGGAATGAAATCAAGGGCCCAAGTGGAGAGGTTAGCCTTGACAAGAGAGGCCCCTTCTCGAGGAAGGAGAAAATGGAGGGGAAACGTAGAATCATTTTTGAGATGTGGAATAAGGAGGTAACTCACAGTAAATGGCCTCTTACTTTAATACTCGTGCTAGGCTACTTCCCCCAGTTTGCATTAACATTAGCAGGGTGGATACATCAAAAGTGGCTGCTACCTCAGGTTCTAGGCACAGGGGTGGGGAACCTGTAGCCTTGAGGCCACATGTGGCCCTCTAGGTCCTCAAGTGTGGCCCTTTGACTGAATCCAAATTTCACAGAACAAATCTCCATAATAAAACGATTTGTTCTATAAAACTTGGACTGTCAAAAGGCCATACTCAAGAACCTAGAAGGCCACATGTAGACTAGAGGCCCCAGGTTCCCTACTCTTATATCCCATGGAGAGCCACTCCTGCTACTATAGCTAACAAACCTCAACCAGTGTGATTCCCTTCAACAGTCATACCATTAAACACAATTAGCTCTTAAAGCATTTGCTTAGCTGGCATGGCAGAAATCATAGTTACAGAACATCTCCCAGCTGCCATAAACCTGGGGTGCATTCTGCCACAAACACACTCAGCATCCATGGGAAGAAGGGAGTCAAACTAGCAAGACATGTATGTGCTATGAACGTGTGGCAAAGGCAACTAACTCCTGCTCCTTCAAGGCCCGAAAGTCCTTTTTCTCTTCATAGTCCTTCGGCAGCTCCCCTGGGGTGTAGCATTGCTATTGGGAAGGTTGCCCATCTGGGTTCCCCAGGGTCTTCTCTCTATTGCTTGAAACTGGATTGCCAAAGCTAGCTCCTTGAAACTGCTTTCTTCTTAGTGGGGAAGGGGGTGGGGGACTGATCTGGCACTTTAAATTTCTTGAAACAAAGTTTCTTTGAGGATTATCTAGTGGAATCATAGAGAAAGAGACACAGAGAGAGAGAGAGAGAGAGAGAGAGAGAGAGAGAGAGAGAGAGAGAGAGAGAGAGAGAGAGATGAGCCAGGGAGAACATCTTGCTGGTAAGCAAGCTCTCTGTGGCTGGATTCTCCAACCTTTGTATCTGTGCCTTCTTTTAGGAACCACCATGAACCATTTCAACAAAGCTGAACAAGACGACTGGCTAACGTCTACCTGAAGTATCTCCTCTTTGTGTTTAATTTCTTCTTCTGGGTAAGTGAATTCTACCATCAGACCCTCTCCACTCTTTTCCCTGACCTTCAAATGTTCCACCACTCAGATTGCTTCCCTCAAAGATCATTCATGTGTAAATTTCAACTTCTTCAAAAAAGTATCCACGGTTGCTGCAGTGGTCCAAGAAAATAATTCATGTACAAGGTTGACATAGACTGTCTACAGGATGGCATCGAGATTCACCAAAATGGTGGATTTATGCTCTAGTCTAACATCCCTAAGGAATGATGGGGCTTTTTTCTTCTATATGTTCTATATGAAGAATATGACACACTGATATCATGGCTCATTCATTTTTCCTGATTAATATTCTAACCCAGAATCAGATGTAAATAGAAGGACATGGAGGCCTGATGCTTTGGATGATTTGAGCTGAAATAGTTTTCAAAATTTAGTAGCTCGTCTCAGGAAAACCCAGAGGTTCTAAATATGGCTTGCACCTGTGTCCACATGTACCAAGTAGAGAACTGAAGCAATTATCTCAGTAAACAATTAATTAATATAACAATCATCCAAACTTACTTTATTTGCTTACGATAAAACTACACACATTAGGCCTACCCTGATTCTGGATAGATGATCATTTAGACAGAATACATAAAATCATGTTACCTCAGATTTGGAGAAGGCTTCAGAGGTTATCTAATTCAACACATAAAGGAAACTGAGGCTCAAAACTGATGTTACCTGACTCCCGGCCCCATATCCTTTCTAATACATTACTAATTTCTAATACATGATGATTTCTTATTCTGATAGCTTTACTTGTGTATAAAATCAATCTAAATTTGGTAGCTCATTTTTAAAATCAAAGATTTGGGAAGTTAAAGAATTCTTAAATGTACTTTAAACTTCTATGGTCTCTAATTTTGTACGCTAAATGACTTTATGTTGATGTGCTGTGATGCTTCTATCTAAAAAGGAGTTGAGATTTCAGGACAAATTTTGTGAATATTTTGAATTCCTCCCAGGAGGAATTAATTCCAAAATAAAATAGGCTGTCTGTAGAGGTTGTGATTTCTCCATCACCAGAAGTCTTCAAGCAGATGATGAGTTGTAAATGTTGTAGAGAGAATGCATGCTTCATATGTGGTTTGAAATAAATGACTTCTGAGGTCCCTTTCATCACTAAGGCTTGATGCTTCTATCAAAGTCTTAACCAGCTTTCAGCTGGATTGGAAATAGGATTGGGGAAAACAATGCTGTTGGCAGAGGAGATGGGGAGGAGGAGGTGGTCACAATGCAGAAGACAGACCAACCATCAGAAAAGAGATTATCTGGCCCATAGAGTAATCCACCACTGCCCCCTAGTGGTTGGAAATAGATAGCAAGGAGCGGGGTACCAGAGTATACCACCATCCTTGTGATGGGATTAAACAAAAAACAGGGCCATATTCTGTAGAGCTGAGGTGTCAGACTCAAATAGAAACCAGACCACTGAACCATACATAAGGATCCCTGCATATTGACTTAGGAAAGCACATATTTTTAAATTTTATTTTGTTAAATATTTCCCAATTACATTTCAATCTGACATGGGAGCACTGGGGAATATTATAGGATGAAGCAGCATGTTTGACATTTCTGCTACAGAGCACAAGTTGGCAGAGGACAAAAAAAATCACAAAGACAAGTCTCTACAAGGTGTGGATTGCAGGAATGGCAATCTCCAGACCACCACAAGGAAGAAATGTGTCCCCAGGTGCCAGTACCTTGAGGCATTTCCCCATAACTCTAGTTATGGCTCTGAATTAAAACACTTCTTATATTATAAATGGCTTCTGTGGAAGAATTTATGTCTTGCTGCTACTACCCTACAGAGCAAGTGACAGTAATGAGAGAACCTCATTGAGGCAACAGTGAAAATAAGAGGTAGAATTTTTTTTTCCATCATTCTAATATACTAGATAACAGAACCAGGATCCAAATGACCCTAAAAGGCCAAAGCAATAGCCTGGACCTGATAACGATGACGTTTATTAGGGATGAATGTAAACTCTTACCCTTGGGGTCAAAAAATCAACTTCACAAATAGAAGGCAGCTGATTCGGTATATAAGAGTTAGGAAGCCCTAAGTTCAAGTCTCACCTCAGATACTTGCTAGCTATGAACTTGGGCAAGTAAGTACTTAACTCCTATTAATCTCAGTTTCCTCTTCTGTAAAATGAGAGATAAGAGTTGTTGCCGCAGTCAAATAAGATAACATGTACAGTGCTTGGCAAACCTTAAAGTGTTATATAAATCCTATTATTATTATAAGACAGAAGATGGCAGGTTATATAATGGGGGTGCATCTGAAAAAGATTTGTGGACTTTAAAGGATTATAAATTCAATATTAGTCAATAGTATAATGTGACAGTTAAAAGAAACAATAATCTTGGGCTAAATTGAGAGACAGTGTCTAGAATGAGGTAGGTAATTGTTTAAATATACTCTGACCTCATTGGTGTCCATTCAGTTCTGGGTCCACATTTTAAGGACATTACTAAGCAGCCGGGCATCCAGCTGAGAGCCATGAGGGTGGTAAAAGGGCTTGAGGTCACACCATGCAACTGGGAACTGGAAAAAATAGCCTGGAAAAGAGAAAAATTATCATAAGTGGCTATTTGAACAACTGTCATGTGAAAGGATTAGAACTAGAAACCATGAGTGGAAGAAACTCCTACCAACACAGTATAAGGAAAACTTTTTGTCCAAAAGTGTCAAGGGCTACCCTCAGATGTAGTGTCCCTCTGCCCCCCACTAGAGCTCCCAAAGCAAAGGCCGGATGACTAATGGGGCTGTTTTGGAGGAGACTTTGGTCTACTTCAGGGTGGATTACATGGCCTTAGGACTCTTCCAACAAAAACCCTGTGTTTTGGTGATCCCTTCCTCCACTTCCTCCCCAGGTGAAAAAGATCTTTCTGATCAAGTTTTCTTAGAGCACTTTGTACATATTTCTCCTTTGCTCTACTATATATATTTATTTGTGGATATATTTCCACTTGCATTGAGCTCTTTGAGGGCAGGGACTGCATCATATATATCTTTGTATCCAAAGCACTTTGCAAATATTAACTGTTTAACAAATGTTTTTGAATGATTCCCATCTATTGAGGCATGGAAAGGAAAGAGGTGAGAATCCATAATATTGAGGGCTAAAGGGAAAGGAAAAGAAAAGAATCCTTTCTAATATTCAGAGCTACAAAGCACAACCACATCCTGTTTCTGAGAGCCAGCTGGGAACTTAATTACCAATTATTACATTGTTTCTATGGGAAACTGTGGTCTGAATGCCAAATAAAAAATTTACAAAATGTTTTTTTGGAACTGAACCCATTCATAAGTTAGGGACTGCCTGCAATTTTTCCTGTAGATGGGAACACAAAGTAATTACTTACTTTTACATTATGGTGTCAAAAAAAAAATTCAGACTGAGTAAATCAGATAAACCCAAAAGATGTTACTTATTTAAAAAAAGGGGAAACAGTCAAATTTCACCTAACACTGTTCCAATTCTGTATGGCACAGCTTTACATTTTTATGGGTTTAAAATGGATTAAGCAGTGGTGGAAAAAACTTGAAGGATGTTATAGCATTTTGTGGTTGCTATGTTTAAATTCTCAGACTGCAATATCTATGTTTTACATTCCAAAACATTTTGCTTCATAAGTGGCCTTGTAATTTCCTACTAATGTGTTGTCATAGCAATTCTAATTGTTAAAATTACTCCAAGATGGAGTCAGTCTTGGTCTTCCTCTGCAATGCAATGTAAGATACTTCAGTTAGTAGTTTTTATTTTCTAAAACACTAAGGACAATTAGATACCGCTTCGCTGATTTTACTTGGTAAAAACTCTAGTTCCCTAAATCTCTGCTTGTTTACCTTTTCTACTACCTTAAAGCTCTTTAACCACTTTCCAAGCCAGTCTCTTAACAGCTTACCCTTAGCTGCAATTTAGAATACAGCTGTTAATTTCCTCCCTTAGACACCTCTGCCACTCACCTTGAGCCTGAAATGACCTAAGTGTCTCTCAGTATCATTCATCAAGTCCTATTGTCTGAAGCTTTAAGCAGCTTTATAACCCTTTTCTTCTCTCAAGTGTTTTTTTTTTAAAGGGGGGAGTGGGGCTCTGAGCCTGTCCCTAGCTGTTACTAATTCTCTCATTCAGAGCTACATTTCTTAAAGGAGCCAGATTCATTTATTTTTAAAGTCTCCTTTACAGTTTTAGCAAAACAGTAGCTCTGCCTCATCTGAACATGTTCCTGGAATCAGGAAGACCTGATTTCAAATCCGGCCTCAGACACTTACTAGCTATGCAACCCTGGGCAAGTCATTCAAACTCTCTTTGCCTTAATCCATTAGAGAAAGAAATGGCAAGCCACTCCAATATCTTTGCCAAGGAAATCCCATGGACAGTATGGTCCACAGGCCATGAAGAGTTGGACACAATTGGAGAACAACAACAACAGTTCCTAGAACTCCTTGAGTTCACAATATAGTAAGACTATCAACTCCCTTATTTTGAACACTATGCTTCTGTTAATCTAGACTTAAATTCAAATCCAACCTCAGACACTAACTAGCTATGTGACCCCAGGCAATTCACTTAATCTCTGCATGCCTCAATTTCCTCAACTGTAAGATGGGGATAATAAGAACATCTCCCTCCCAGGGTTATTGTGAGGATCAAATGAGATAATCATTGTAAAGTATCTGGCACAGGGGTAGGGAACCTGCGGTCTCATGGTCACATTTGGCCTTCTAGGTCCTTCTAGGCCTTTTGATCAAGTCCAAGTTTTACCAAACAAATCCTTTTATTAAGGGCGTTTGTTCTGTGAAGTTTGGATTCAGTCAAAGGGCCACACTTGAGGACCTTAAGGGCCACACGTGGCCTTGAGGCCACAAATTCCCCCGGTCTGGCATGAAGTGTTATATAAATGTTGCTTTTGTGGTTGTGTCCAACTCTCTGTGACCCTATTTGGAGTTTTATTGGCAA